TACGGCTCGTACTCATTGGTGGGTCGGGCGCTGGTGGTGTGCGACCCCAATCTGCTCAGGGATATAATGGTCAAGGATTTTAACGTATTCCCCGATCACAAACACCTTCATCCCGGGTCATCTAAAATTGATAAGAGTCTGTTTTTTATGCCCGGGGATGACGACTGGAAACGCGTCCGGTCTATACTGTCGCCGGTGTTCACTTCGGGTAAACTGCGGGCAATGATGGCTCACATATCGGACATTTCCGACTCGTTTGTCAATAATTTGGACGATTATGAGAAAAAAGGTAATTATATATTGTATCATATTTTATGCTATATTTTATTTATTTTAATAATTTTGTTAGTTGCACAATTTTTGCTTATTAAATAAGTTTCAGCACGGTTACATTTAAGACTGTTACAAAATTTTTCTAAATGCATTAATTTATTATAAGCAAATAAATTTAAATAATATTGATTATCTAATCGAAAGTAACTATAATTAATTTTTTATCATTATAATCTAATTTAATTATGCTTAATAAAATATTATGATATTTTATAATTAAATAATAATAAGTTTATAACTTTGTACTAGGGTATGATAAAATATATTATCATGTATCATGAATATATAATTTTAAAACATATTACAGAATAATACATTATATAATTGTATAAAATTAATAATAAATACTAGTCTAGTAAATAGTCAATAATAATTTTTTAAAATCGGGAATCATGAATACAAAATTATAAATTTGTTTTTACAATGTTACCCAGGTGAAGTGGTAGATATGCGCAAATATATCGGTGCGTTCGCCATGGATGTGATCAGTGCCTGTGCTTATGGTATAAACACGGAGTCCATCAAAAACACGAGTCATCCCATTGTGACCAACGCTAAGAAAATACTGGGTGTCGACGCCGGTATCAGTTTGCTATTGTCGGTGTTAGCACCCGGGTTAGCCAAACTACTAAGGTTGGAGCCCTTTGACATAAATGCTGCCAATTATTTCGATGAACTCACCAATCAAATCGTGAAAGAGAGAAAAATTATCAACAAATATAAAGTGACCGATAAATGTAAGTATCATTTGAAAGGATTTTTGGTTTTTTAAGAAAATTTTTTATTAAAAATATAATGACTATAAAATAGTTTTAGAAATATTTTAAATTA